AAAATTTTCAAATAAGTAAATAAATAAGTGCATGGGTATAAATGGAACATATATATTCATATAGATTCAAAAGTATTTTTTTTAATTAATCACTGGTATCCGATCTATTACCCGACTAATCCAGATCGGGTACTGCAGAGGTGAGGGTTAGGGGTGTAAACGAGCCGAGTCGAGCTCGAGTATTGTTGAGCTCGACTCGACTCGAAAACTCTGAAATAGAGCTCGACTCGACTCGAAAACTCGCGAGCTTAAAACTTTCAAGCTCGACTCGAACTCGAAATCCTGAACTGAAGCTCGTGATAAGCTCGAAAAGGCTCGAAATGAAAAAAAAAATTTCTTAAACTTAACTCGATTGAAGCTTCAAACTCAAACTCGAACATGAACCTTAAATAGATAAAAATCTTACTTAATTTTAAAAATAAATCAATACATAAATTTTAATATTATTAATAATTTATTTTCTAAAAAAATAAAATCTTAATATATTATATTTTCGAGTTGCTCACGAGCTTTTCGAGTCGAATATCGAGTAGCTCGTTTCGGCTTGTTAAGAACTCGAGTCGAGCTCGAGCTCGAGTTGAATCCATTCGATCCGAGTATTTATCGAGCCTTAATCGAGTCGATCTCGAGTAACTCGCGATCTGTCTCGTCTCACTTACAACCCTAGTGAGGGTAATCCTCCTAACCCAGTTTGCTACATTCGCGAACACCAAGATTCAAACAAAATATATAGAAAGTAATTCAATTTACTAATTACACGCTAATAGGAAGGAAATTGGAATAAGAGTAGAAATTAAGCAAGCATGAATTGAATACAAGAAATAAGAACGAAATAAGAAATTGAACCAAAATTACTATGAAAATAAATGTTTACGATACAAATATTGCGCTAAATAAATAGACAATAAAAGAGAAAGAAATGAAATATTGCAACAGTTAGAGTACAAAAATAATAATAAAAATAAAAGTAATTTTTTTTAAAAAAAATAATAATAATAAAAAGGTTACTAAAATACAAATGAAGAAAATGAAGAATATAAATTTAAGGGTAAAGTATATAAATAGTCCTCGAACTTTTAGCATGTTTAAATTTTAGTCATCAAGCTTTTGAAACTTTTAATACAATAATCAAACTTTTAGTTCGTTTTCATTTCTGTCTCTGTCGTTACCTTCCTGACATGACAGTTAACCTTCTTTTTTACTAGACATGAATTTAAATAAGATTTATCTGACCCAAAATTTGACTCGATTTTTAATATAAAAATTGCACTCGTATCCAATTTAACACAAATATATATATATATATATATATATATATATATATATATATATATATATATATATATTTTTATCAGGTAAAATAGGGGCCTAACTAAAGATATAACTATAACAATATAATAATAGTTATCCCTAGATATATAAGGATATATAAGGATTAATTATATTATTGTTTTTGGACTGAATATTTTTTCACATTATATTATTGTTCTCGAGTCGAGATATATATTGTTCCTTTTAAACGTAAATTTGATCCGATCTTATCCTTCAAAAACTTAAATTGATCTAACTTGAATTTAAATGTTAAAAAAAATCCCTACAAGATTAAATCAAAACTCGTGAGATTCATCAAATGTTTATTTCTAATTATGATTATTTTTGTTAAATATGTTTAAAATCTAGTTTGACTATTAGTCTCTTTATTAGGTATGAATTATAAATTTAAGTTTTATTATTTAATTCAATTGTTTGAAATATTTATAATTTAATTATATAAATATTATTTTAAAAAATTAATTTTAGGGTAAATTATGTGTATATTACCTAAACTATCAGTTTTGATCCGTCTTAGTACCTAAATTTTCAAAATTTTAAATTTATACCTAAAGTTTAATTTTTGTTTCATTTTAGTGTTTTTGTTCAAAATTTAACATTAGTTTAAAAAATATGAAAGTTTAGGTACTAAAATAGACCAAAATTGATAGTTTAGGTACTAAACACATTAAATTTTTAACGGCGTGAGTATTAAAATAAAACAAAAACTAAACATTAGGTATGATTTTAAAAAAAATGAAAGTTTATATACTAAACCGGATAAAAACTGATAGTTTAGGTATTAAATGCCTAGTTTACCCTAAATTTTAAATGTATTAAACTAATAACGAGTATGGAGAGAGTTTGACGATTCTTGAAATCAAATCCAAGTCTCGTAAAATGCTTAACAGATTCAACAGAATGTGCAACGGATTCTCCAACCTCCCGAACGACTCTCAACCAGTTGCATTTGCCTGCATAATCTTGAAACTAACTGATTAAAAGGCCCTTTACATTCCCAGTAGAGCTTCGATCTTTGCCTCACTCACTCGCCGTTTCTCTCCATAGCTTTCTTCAACCTTGAGAAAGCCAAGAAAAAGTAGATCCTCAGCCATGAATCCAACACTAGCCACATTCTCATCACCGTGCACCGCCGTTCTCCCTCTGAAATCGCTTTCTTCGTCGGCTCCGTTGCTCGCTTTTCCTTCACCCAATCCCCTCAGGCTCAGGGCTTGTTGTTTTGCAAAACCTGATTTCGTCGCTCAGAAGCTTCAATCCTTGACCAAGACGGCTGTTTTTGTCGGTGCCACCGCTTTGGTGATTGGGAAATTCTCCAACTTCCCTGCCCGAGCTGACCCTGTGCCGGTAACGGAGGTTGAAAAAGAACCCGCTTTGCTGGGAGAGAAGGAAGCAGAGGATCCCAAATCAAAGCAAACTTCATCGCTCTCTGCGTTTCTTGAATCGGGCGCGGAAGCTGTCGAGGCGATGAAGGCGTTCATACACCTGAAGCTCGAAAGCCAAGAAGAAGAAGAGGCGGCTGGAATCCTGAATCGCTTGGTTTCTGCCCAACCGGATGTTACCCATTGGAGACTCTTGCTGGGAAGGTGTTGGGTGACATGGGTCAAACCGAGAAAGCGCGCGAAGTGTTTGACGAAATCCTTCAGTCGGATCCGTTCGCTTACGAGACTCTGTACGAGTATGCTTTGCTGATGGATCGTTGCGGGGAAGGAGAAGATGTTCTCAAAAGGTTAGAAGGGGTCGTAGCCCTCGCCCAGAAAGAGAAGAAACCCAAAGAAGCCAGAGATGTTCGATTCATAATCTCCCAGTTACACTTCCTCCAAAACAACTTGGACAAAGCTTTGCTGAGTTACCAACAACTGGCCAAAGAAGACCCGACTGATTCTAAGCCGTATTTTTGTCAAGGGTTGATATACAGGATGCTTAATATGAACGAAGAAGCTCAAAAACAGTTCTCCAAATGCCAGCAATCTCACACTCCGGAAGGGCACTTGAGGCCACGTTTATAAAAACTTAAAACTGTTCAACACCAACGAGGGGGATTGAGTTTTTTTTTTGGTTTGGGGGGGGGGGTAGGGAAATTTTCTGTCATTCTTGTGGTATACACTTCTTTAGTAGTGTGTTCCTTTAGGCCTTTAAGCCTTGCTGAAAAAGATGCAATCGATATCGAAACCCTATGTAAGTTTCAGAGGGTACATAAAGAAAATAAAGAGATGAGCCATGTTTTTTTGTTTTTTTGCAGTTTCTGGCTTCGATAATATACTAGACTTACTGGTTCTTTCTGTTATTTCTCAAGTTCATGAGCCATATTTCTTGCTTTCGATTAGGCAATAAAACTTAGAATCTACTCAGACTTTCAGAGAGTTTGCAGTTCAAGTAAAACGTTGCACCAACTTCAGGCTATAGATTTAACCATCAAGTTAAACAAAGTAGAGCAGTAGTTCTTTCATCTATGTTACAATCAAAAGCATGTCAAATTCAACCAACCTGAACATACCATCTAGAATTTCAGGGTTTGGGTTCGACTTGGCCTCTCTACTCTTCTTGTCAAATTCCAAACACAAACACAAACCCACATGGCTCAAACACAAACACGCTTTCAAGAGATCGAAAAACAAATAAGTCAGTTGGCTCAAGCGGTTGGTAGCCTAGAATCTCGAGGCCGATTACCCTCACGAACCGAAACAAATCCGAGAGAAAATGTAAGTTTGATTACTCTTCAAAATGGTACTATCATCTCACCTGAACCGACGAAAGAATCCGAAAAAGAATTCGACAATAAAGGAGAAGGCGCATCATCGAAGAAACAAGAAGAAAATCTTTGCCACCATCCATTTCAGGTAAATTCGTTCCTTCTTCCTCTTTTTCTTCTGCTTATGAAACTCTGTCTCCCTTTCCTAGTAGACTTATGTGACGTGATGAGAAAGAGGAAGAGAAAAAAAATCTCGACATTTTTAGGAAGGTGGATATTAGCATCCCCTTCTTGAAATGATTCGGAAAGTGCCCTAGTACGCCAAGTACCGTAAAGATCTATGTACCAACAGAAGATGATTGACCGAAAATGAGAATGTGAACTTGAGCAAGAATGTTTCTGCAGTTTTTCAACGACAGATTCCACCGAAGTATAAGGATCAATGTATGTTAGTCATAGCTCATAAGACTGGCAATGTTCGAATCAAGCACATGATGTGTGACTTAGCGCATCCATCAAGCGCCATGTGTGACTTAGGCGCGAATGGGGTGAAGTCACCTTTAAACTCGGTTTGGATTGAGTTTCGGATGGAGAGCATATATTTTCGGGTCGAGTCGAGTCGATCGAAAACTCCCCAACCCATGCCCATCTCTAAATTTAATTTGAATAAAAAATAATTTAAATCAATATTAATCTGAATAAAAAGTAACTTGAATTGAAAAAAAATAGAAATACAAAAGTACTCATACAAAAAACAACCAAATTTGATTTATCCAAATCCGTTTCGTATCAAACATCGACTTGATTTTAGCTTGATAATTAGTTAACTTTTAGAGGTTAAAAGAACAATTAATAAACTAAAATATATATTAATAGTAATTTGAAAATATACACGAGATATCAAAACGACGTAGTTCGCGAAGAAAAACTAAGGTATATAAGCAGCGGAGAAGATGCAAAGAATCTCAAAATCCATTAGATTCCAAAAAAATGGAAGATTTTTGGAAGCGCGCCAAGTCCTTCGCTGAAGAAGCGGCGAGGAAATCTCAAACCATAACAACGCCGAACAAAATCGCCGATCTAGTCGCCGGAACCGCCAAGAAGTCCAGGGAGCTTGCCCTTGAAGCCTCCAAGAAAGCCGATGAATTCAAAACTGCGGCTCTCCGGCAAGCCGATCAAATCCAATTCCAGAGCCTCTCCAAGTCCATTTCCGATGTTATCCCCCCTCAACTCTCCTCCCTCTCCGTTGCCGCCCCCGGTTCGTATTTCTCGGATCCTCCACCGATATACGATTCGGAGCTCCGGAAGTTTGGTCTCACTGATGATTGATTGACGTTTTTAATTAAATCTGGACGAAAAGAAAATACTAAAAAGGTAACATTTGTGGCCATATATTTGTTTTTAGATGAATTTTCGTGTAATTTTTATCATTTTAAATTTCAATTGCCATCCAAATATGTAAGAATCGTTTCAGTTATTGTACTTTGATTATTAATAAATTGTGTAAAACACAATTTTCTTATGCAGGAAATCAAGAAATTAAGATATGAGTTGTGTCCGCGTGTGATGAAAGAAAGAAAATTTTGGAGGATATATTTCATACTTGTTAGTACTCATGTCTGCCTGTAAGTGTTTGATTAGTATTACAATTGTGGTAATTTATGATAAGGGATCGAATTATTATTTGATGTAAGGTATTTGTATTTTTAGTTATGAGAAGCAGTACATGGAGGAAGTTAAACAGAGAGCAAAGCAGGAAGGAGCAAACGAGGACGAACCCAAGCAAACGCCCGGGGTTAAAACAGAGCCATCGGAATCTAGTCTGAAAAGTAAAACTTCGAGTGCATCTACCGAGCAAGATTTGGATACGTTTTTGTTGGGAGATTTCGAAGAAAGTGATGGTGGCGGAGGAGGTATGTTCGATCCATCAAAATCCTTGTGTTTAATTGCGGATATATGATATCTTCGTACGTTTACTTGTTTCCTGCAGCTTTGATATTTTGAATTGCTTGATCTTGAATACGCTGATGACTTTTATCTTCAAGTTACATTTTCTAAAGGATGTTTTTCCTGAATCATGTTAAAGCTTGATTATGGATTGTGTAGCCTAACTTTCTTTGGCCGATTCAATGCAATATGTTGATCTTGGAAGAGTTGTTTATATCCCTGATAAGATATGTGGCAAGCTTCATTGTTAATGGATAGCCATTTTGGAAATGCTTTTGTTCCTTTTACTTCCATTTTGTTAATTATTGGCACATCTTTCAGATGATGGTGATGATGGGAGCTTTGGTGATGATTTTGACAAGATCGGAAATTCGGTAAGCTCAAATAACTTTTATACTACCCCTTTATATAGTGTCTTAAGTAGCTTCCAAGAATGTTTCCAGTTGCATCCTCTGATCTTTCAATATGTAACACCAAATATGCCAAGGTTCATTCTCCCCCTATAATTGGTCGTAAGTTGTCTCCTTGCAGGATGTTGAAGAATAGAAGAATGCAGAAGGAACAAAATCTTAGCTGCTACGTCGAGAAGAAGACTGTCGAGGGGGTAGCACGAGCAGCCGGTGGTTCCCGGAGCATGATCCGGCGGTTGGGAGTTCAGTAACTATGGTGTATGTTTACTTTATACAAGATATATGATTACTGTTTGTAAATATATTTGGCATTATATACAAAAAGCTGCCTTTGTATAAAGAATCTCATTCTATTTATCAAGTAATTGGTTATTTGTGGTTTAACTATTTCTTAGGTCCTTATCAAGTAAATGGCTTATTTGCATTCTTAGTCCCTCCCTAATATTGAACATTTAATTTAATCCATTTACCTTTTACTTAAGTGGAGAAATATGCCTTTGGCTCTTTCCAATAGTTGATAATTTAATTTAAGCCTTTAAAATGGTTTCCTTTCAGTTTTGATCCCTCAACTTTTATAATTTTATCTTGGCCCTCCATTAAATTCTTGACTTTTTATCTCTTACTGACCTCCATTTTAAAACTATTTGTATTTACCTCTCAACGTTTCAATCTATCTCCTTTTGTGTCGAGTATAGACTCAAAATTAAACCCCAAGTTGAATGTTGACATTAAACCTAAATTCAAGCAAAATTAAACTTCGAACCCCTAACCCTAATCTAAACCAAATATAACTCGAACAAATATTCAACTCAAATTCATTTCCCAAACTATACGATAAACTATTGAATTCCATTCTTTATTCAATTTAAACTTAAATATTATCTTTTCCAAAACGAACAATCAAAATCTTTCAGAAAAGATGATTTTATGAGTATTCGATTATCAAACCCAAACCGATCGACGATGATCTCGTATTTCAAAATGTGTTTTTCAAAACAATAAATTTTTGAACCATCTAAAAATAATGTTGACAATATATATGATTATCTATGCAGAATGAAGGACTGAAAAATAATAATGTAATTTTTTTAGAAGCAAAGCCAAGCATGCGTGCATGAAAGATAAGTGCATATGGTTTTCCTGCCCTACTGAAAGTTATTTCCAGAAAACAAATTTAATTTTTTTTTGTAACGAATACATCAAAACCCTTAAAACAACTATTTTTCAAAGTTATCACACATTATTATCATTAAATACTTTGAAAATGATAATAAAAGAGAATAATCACGACCCCACTACCACGAAATGGTTATTATTACAAATAGCGTCGTGCGAGTAAAACTTAATAAAAAGGTAAAAATACATCATATGTTCATATACTTTTTCAAAAAACTAATACGGTCCTCGTATTATTTTTTCTCTCAGTGTGGCTCTTTGACCGACGTTTTTATCATTGATCGTTATGATACTGATGTGGTAATTTATGGTACTGACATGGCGGTTTGCGGTGTCGACGTGACAGTCCACATTAATTGATAATGTGGTGGGTAACATGGTAGATAGACTAAATTGGTAGCTCAAACATGACAGATGTATTGTCACATCAACACCGTGAATTATCATGTCAGCATTGTAACGGTGAAACGCAGAAAAACGTTGATCAAAGGATCACATTAAATTAATTTTTTGAATTAGAGAGTCACATTAAAGAAAATAATACGATGGTCACATTATTATTATTTTTCAAAACAACAATAACCTTCTATGTCTTTTTACCTAATAAAAATGATGAAAAGACATAATTATTGATAGAATTGTCTGGTATTTATTTTCCGATTGTTTCACAGCCTATCAAATTATTGTTAGAATTTATTATTTAAATTTCATTTTGGTTTAACTTAAAAATTAGTAGTTTTATTAGTTTAATAACGATAAATGCGAAGATAAATATGATTTTAGATTTTGATGTATTTTTGCATAATTTTTTTCTTAATTTATCGTCGATTATAATAAAAAAATTCCTTTGATACCTATGATTTTTATTATATACAAATTTCTATGTAAAATTATTTATTCTTATTTTTATGATCAATTTCATTAATCGCAGATATTAATAATCATAAACACTGATGGCCAAGCAACTTAAGTGCTAAATTAATACTACTATTAATTCAGAAAATGATAAATAAAATTGATAGCTTTAATGAAATATTGCTAAATACATTACATTAAAGAATGTCAAGAATACTATTTTTTTTAATCCATTGCATTTAAATCCAATTTATTAAATCAATAGACCAATTTGTATAATCAACGAGTTAATGACTGGTTGATGTTTGACTCTTGAAAAATTTTCCCTCGCCATAATTCTATGCATATAAACCAGCTTCCTGCAACAACCAAGAAGAAAGATCAAAACCCAGATTCATGCAGCCTTTCTGAGGTGAATTTCTCGTTTTCTCTTCTTTTTCAGTAATTCGTTGTTTTTGGATGATACCCAGATTTTGTTTTTGATTGTTTGTATGTTTTAGAGAATTGAAGAAGCTGAGGAATATGGGTTTGCGAGGCGAGCTTGGAGGAGACATTTAAATCCAATTTATTAAATCAATAGACCAATTTGTATAATCAACGAGTTAATGACTGGTTGATGTTTGACTCTTGAAAAATTTTCCCTCGCCATAATTCTATGCATATAAACCAGCTTCCTGCAACAACCAAGAAGAAAGATCAAAACCCAGATTCATGCAGCCTTTTCTGAGGTGAATTTCTCGTTTTTCTCTTCTTTTTCAGTAATTTCGTTTGTTTTTGGATGATACCCAGATTTTGTTTTTGATTGTTTGTATGTTTTAGAGAATTGAAGAAGCTGAGGAATATGGGTTATTGCGAGGCGAGCTTGGAGGAGACGGAGTGTGGGGAAGTGAAGGAGAAACTCTACAGCAGCAAGATGAGGTTGAAGTATTTAAGCATGGTGAAGGCCGAGAAGCTCAAGAGCTTGGCTCTTGCGAGGATTCGAATGGCTCGAGTCAAGTTATGGGTGGCTCGAGCCATAAGCGTCTTGCTGCTTTGGGCTATAGCCATGCAGTTGAGATCGCTGGGAGAAATAGTTTCTTCATCGAGGATTCCTAAATCTACCTTATATTATTCTCTTCCTCCTGAAAGTACGTAAAACCTCCTTTCTTTTGTGTATGCATGCATGCATAGTAGGGAGTATTCGATCGAGTTGAGTCAAAAGATTTCAAGTTATTCAAGTTAACGAGTCATATTTTACAACTTTTAATTTAACTTGAATTTTTTTAGAGTCGAGTCGAATTTTCGAATTTCTATTTAAATTTAATTGTAAATATTATGATATTATTTGATTCAAATTTAAATAGTTTTTTATAACTATATACAATACATATATATTTCTTCATATATAATATACATACATCATACAAATTCGAGGGACTCGACTTAAACTTAAAAATTAATCCACTAATTACTAAAATTTCAAGTTATTCGAGTTGTGTTTTACAACTCAATTTGAACTTGAAATTTTTTTGAGTCGAGTTTATGAAATTATAACTCGAAGTCAATTCGAGTCGAAAAAATAAATTTTTTGAGTCGAATTTTGATCACCCTGTACATGCATGTATGTATGCTTTGAATTTCGTCATTTCTGTTGATGTATATGCATGCATGCATGTACGTTGTGAATTTTGTCATTTCTTTTGATGGATGTATGCATGTATATAGGATCATTAAAATTCATGAGGATAATTTATTCTATAACATATTACATGTATGATCTAAAGTGTTCACACGGTAGGTACAAACATGTTTAAAATTGGCATAATGATAAAAATGGGTCTAACGTTTGATTAAGTAGTCACTTCGGTTCCTATTTTTTTATTTGATACATTTTGGTCTCCCAAAGTTTTATTTCGGAACAAAAAGACTCATGTTAGTTAACAAACGATTAATACTCTAAAATTAGGATCTTTTGTCCTAAAAAGACTCATCTGAATGTAAACCTTTAGTCATTAATGGAATTCGAACTTTTCAGCGGTCTACGAGAACAATGGTTACCTGATGGTATCTTCAAATGGAGGATTGAATCAAATGCGATCCGGTGTAAGTAATCAATTCGATCGATATCGTTATCGTTGTCGTTTTGATTTCAGTAATAATCAACTTGTTCTACACATACATGCAGATATGTGATATGGTTACAGTTGCCAGATTCTTAAATGTCACCCTCATAGTCCCTCAATTAGATAACACATCGTTCTGGAATGATTACAGGTAAATTCATTCACTTTCTCAGTGAATTAAACTACTAAGATCTGGTGTTTGTTTTAATGGATCGATCCCATTTCTTGATGAAGAAATTCCCAATTATTTGTTCTTTGAAATTGCAGTCAGTTTGCCGATATATTTGACGTAGAGTATTTCATTGCATCGCTGAGAGATGAAGTTCGGATATTGAAAGAGCTGCCTCCTGCGGAAAAGCAGAAAGTTGCTGAATCAGTGTTCTCAATGCCACCGATCAGCTGGTCTAACATGACATATTACTATAACGTGGTATGGACTGTTTGTGAATCGTTCGTATAACGTTCATTTCTTAAGTTAAATAAACGAGTATGAACAAAATTTTTATGTTCATTCGATAAACGAATGAACACGACTAAAGGTGTGTTCGATTCGTTTATGTTCACGAATGAGCTCGTTTATAGGCTTGTTTATGAACTCGTTTATCGGATCACTTATAAGCTCGTTAACATGATTTCCTTTTTACTTTTATTTTTTTGGTTAAATTACGTTTTTAGTATCTAAACTATCATTTTAGTATGATTTAGTTCCTAAACTTTCAATTCTTTTAAAACCATACATAAAGTTTAGTTTTTGTTTTATTTTAGTACACCTGTTCAAAATTTAATGTTAAATTTTGATAAAAATTGAAAGTTTAGGTACTAAAAAGGGAAAAAACTAATATTTTAGGTACTAATCGTGTTAAATTTTTAACGGTGGGTACTAAAATGAAACAAAAACTAAACGTTAGGTGTGATTTTGAAAGAAAATGAAAGTTTAGGTACTATAACTTACAAAAACTCATAGTTTAAGTACTAAATACATAGTTTACCCTTTAAGTTTTTTACTTTTTTATTAATATTTTTTATATTTTAAATATCAATGAAAATAGGGATTAGATTGAATATATGATCAACTTTGGAGTTTAAACTGTGTAATCTAAAAAATTTAAGGACTAATGGTGTAATTTCACTACTTCTTTTATCTTTGCAAATAAAAGGGTAAAAAGGAGATTTTATAACTAAACGTTAAACAAATAAGTTTGCGAACATACAAATGAATATGTTGACAAACGTTAAACGAATCAAACATAAACACTTTTAAAGATAAACAAATGAATACGATCATTTTTATTTTGTTTTTTTTTAAACGCAGATTCTTCCACGGATTCAAACGCACCAAGTGGTGCATTTCCAGAAAACCGACGCAAGGCTGGCTAACAATGGACTCCCCGAAGAGGTGCAAAAGTTACGTTGCCGAGTAAACTACGAGGCACTGCGGTTCGCACCTTCGATACAAGCGTTGGCCGAAAAAATCGTTCGAATCTTAAGAGAAAAGGGTCCTTTCCTAGTCCTTCATCTCAGATACGAAATGGATATGATCGCATTCTCCGGTTGCAACGAAGGCTGCAACGAACAAGAGATCGACGAGTTAACGAAAATGAGGTAAACAAAATAGCTATGCATTAGCTCCCGTTCGAGCAACATGCTAATAACGCGAACGCATGATTATACCTTCGCTTTATTAGTACGTTAGAGCACTAACGAGATTCGTGTGAATTCGATTGTTAATCGTTACGATAATGTTGTTATCAGATATGCATATCCATGGTGGAAAGAAAAGGTAATAGATTCGGAGAAGAAGAGACTGGCTGGTTTGTGCCCTTTGACACCTGAGGAAACAGCACTGACATTACAAGCATTGGGGATCGACCGGAATATCCAAGTTTATATAGCTGCTGGAGATATATACGGAGGAGAAAGAAGATTGGCAACACTAAGAGCAGCTTATCCCAATCTGGTTAGTTTATAACTGATAGATTAATTCAAATCGAGTTTAATTTCATTCGTTTTTTCGATCATCCATACGAGTAGTTCGAAATCGGGTTGAAACTTACTTGGTGATTTGTACTACAGGTGAAGAAGGAAACATTACTACCGCCTTCAGAGCTTGAACCTTTCAGGAACCATTCGAACCAGATGGCAGCCTTGGATTATTATGTGGCGGTGGAAAGCGATATTTTCGTTCCGACAAACGGTGGCAACATGGCCAAAGTGGTCGAAGGCCATCGACGGTAAAATCTACTAGTTCGAGTCTTAATTTAATACAATATCGAAGGTGTTTTTGTAATCGAATTCCGATCTTATTCAGTTACTTGGGGTTCAAGAAAACAATTCTGTTGGACCGCAAGGCGATTGTCGATCTAGTGGATCTGTTCAGAGCTGGATCAATAAGCTGGGAAGAATTCTCATCGGAAATGAAGGAAACTCACGCGGATCATATGGGGAACCCTTCGAAAAGATCGGTGATTCCCGGTAAACCGAAGGAAGAAGACTACTTTTACACAAACCCAGAGGAGTGTTTGGCAAGAGTTGATGATGAACCACAAGTTTCTGAGGATCAGCAACAAGAAACTGATGCTGAAGCTGAACCGTGAATATATACAGTTTAGGGTTTGTGGTCTAAACCCTAAACCCTTGAAGGGTATTAGATTTGCAGGTTTCTTGTCTTGCACGGGGTTAAAAAATGGAGATTGACACAAGCATTTTGAGGAGGATATACATCCGTATAGGCAATAACATATACAGAACGAGGGTTATTCCTATGTATGTATAATTATGAACTTACATTTACTCCCAATTTCAAAACAGGAAATCAATCAATGATCAAAACATAAATTCATTCTCATATATGGGTACCTAATTTGACTTTTTTATATTAAAAAGGACCAATGCAATTACAATCAACATCATATAATTGACCTTTAAACTATGTCAAATAGCGATAGCCAAGCGTTTTTCATAATAAATGAATAGTTGGTATTCTTTAACGACTAGGGTTCGAACATCATATATATATACCAGGAGTGTGAATGTTTTATCCCGAAAGGTTGAGAGTTTATCTTTGAACAGATAATGTTGCCTTGTACTTACTCCAGATTAATAAAAAAAACTATGTTAAATAACAAAAAATCATTTATGTCAGAGTTAATTGCATCATATGTCCTCAAAGTATGACCCGAGTATTTTAAATTGGTCCTTAAACTTTTAAATCTTTTAATTTCATCCCTAAACTATGATTATCATTTTTAATTACTCCTCAAACTTTTGAACATTTCAATTTCAACCCCAAACTATGACCTTCATTCTAAATTGGTCCCCAAATTTTTTGAACATTCCAATTTTTCCCAAACTATACATATATGCTAATCACATCCCTAGTCAATAAAATTGTTAGCTCAAGTTGTATTATTATATGTTTAAAAAATAAATTTTAGTTTAAACTATGGCTGAAACTAATTACATATTTGGATGAATTTTGGGATGAAATTGGAAGAATCAAAATTTTGAAAATTAATTTAGAAAGAGGGTAATAGTTTAGGGATGAAATTAGAATGTTCAAAAGTTTAAGAACTAACTTAAAATGAGATTCATAGTATAGGAATGAAACTATAATATTTAAAAATTTAAGGATCAATTTGAAATGAAGGTTATAATTTGGAAATATATAATATAATTAACTCTTTATGTTATGAAGACGAACATTTATCAACTATAGGGCACCGGTTTCTCAACTATAATGCATTAACTAGGGACAATTATTTGTATTCAAGTGATTATACAAATCAAGTGAACTCTTTCTATAAAAGTAGTTATTTGATCACATTCATATAAGAGACGCGTATAATAAAAAAATTACTCTAGATTAAGTTCTTCGATTATTAAAAGTTATAAAGTAATATTTCGACTATATATTGTTGTTTTGTTGAGTCCCTCGACTATTAAGAGTTACAAAATTATCCTTCGACTATTAAGAGTTACAAAATTATCCTTCGACTATAGATTGTTGCTTTGTTGAGTCCATCAACTATTAAAAGTTACAAAATAGTCCTCCAACTATACATTGTTGCTTTGTTGAGTCTCTTAACTATTAAAAGTTACAAAATGGTCGCTCAACTATTCATTGTGTTGCAAACCCGTCATTTTCCATTAAAAAAATATACGATATTATGAGTTGAACTTTAATCCATTGATTGTAATATGATAAAATCTGATCACAGAATCTTAAACGACTATCATATCTCAATCATCAATATAACGTCCAGCTTAAATAATCATCAATTTTTAACAGAAAAAAAACAAGTGTTAGGAAGATAATGAATAGTCGGGTGACTTAATTTAGTAGTAAGAGGACCATTTAATTTATTAGTCAGACGACCATTTGTGTATTTTATCGTATATTTTGTAATGAAGGAATCTCGAGAACTAGATGATAAGTTTCACGAGGAAGAGATTAGGAAGCTTAGGGGAAAGCAGGTGGTTCTTGATAGTTCATCGAACAGCACAAAGCAATTCTGGCCTCATCTTTCATGCAAGACGCCTGCATTAGATTTTGCTTTAATGACCTGATAAGATCAGCATTTAAATCCAAAGCATCACGATAATAATTGTAATAAATTCTGATATCAATGTTGAAAGCAGAATTTTTAACTCGTTTTTCAGCTGAATTCGTATGCTTTTCAATTTCAACGACAATCATAGAATTACAATTATTATACAGAATCCTTCGTATTCCATACATTTCCTCCTGGAAAATGACTGCAGCAAAACGTGACCCAACTTATGTAAATCCCATTTATGCCTCCCAAGCCACCACAATCGAACATTACCCCTTCCTTTTAAGGAAAATTTTCTCCGACATAGGAGAACCGGCTTTCCGATGTTTTATCTTGTCACAAATTCTGGTGGGGGAACTACTCTCAGCCAAGTTGTCCGAGTAAAGTTAAAGTTTTCGTTCATTTCGTATCGGTTTCGGGTTTAGGATAACAATAGTTTAAGTGTCCACTACGGGCGATTTCGGCCATGGGGATGAACGACTCGAAACATGGTTTCGAAGAAGATGAAGCATTCATTCAATATGATAAGGTGGAGTTGAAGTTTTCCATTAATGATAAATTGAAGAGCTTGATGCTGCCTAAGTCACCTGGATTTGATCAATTCAAGCCATGGATGCTCGTAATCACAGCTATGATGGTTCTGCTATGGATTTTCGCATTGCAATTAGCTTCGATGGGAGACGATATCGCCCGTTAGCTGGTCCAACATGTCCTATTATTACAACACGGTGAGTTAACTCGTATGATCGTATCCGCGTAACCGGTGCCGAACGTTAAACGTTTTCCGGGGATGATTGAACGCAGGTTTTTCCTCGTTTCCAAAGATACGAAGTGGTTCGGTTCGCCAAAACGGATACCAGGCTCGGTAATAATCTACCCGTTGAGGTTCAAAAGATGAGGTGTAGGGTTAACTATGAAGCCCTAAAATTCACTCCTGCAATAGAAGAAATGGGGAAGAAGATCATAAGAATTTTGAGGAGAAAGGCCCTTTCTTAGTCCTACACCTCAGATATGAAATGGACATGTTAGCATTTTCTGGTTGTACTGAAGCCTGCAATCTAAGTGAAGCTCAGGAGCTTACAAGACTGAGGTGAAGCTCAAAAACTTAACACGTTTAGTATCTAAATTATCTGTTTTTTTTTTGTTTTAGTATCTAAATTTTCAATTTTTTTTCAAAAACTTAACGTTAAGTTTTTAACGGTACTAAGATGAAATAAAAACTAAATGTTATGTATGATTTTGAAAAAAATAAAAGTTTAGGTATTAAAACAAATCAAAAATAATAATTTAGATACTAAACATATAATTTACCCTTATTTTAATTTTGTTACTTGAATTTAGTTTCGATCCGAACCTTATTAAATTCATTCAAGATTATACTCTTAACTAGGGATAGCAACAGGTCTGGTTGGGTGGGATTTTTGGTCAATCCAATCTGACACGAAAAGTATACTGCTCTACACGAATTTAATTCGGTCCGAATTTAAGGAGATTTTATCCGACCTGAAATTATTTTTTAACCAAATACAAATATACATAAAAAATCTTGTTTTATTCGATAAAATAGGAATCTAATTAAAAAATATGGAGAGGGATATTATAGCAATTATCTTTAATAATATGTGAAAATTATATTATTATCCTAGGTTAAGTCGAGTCTGAGATTTTTCATTGTAAACTTGACATGGCCCTATTTCACCCTTTATTAAACTCGACTCGAACTTGATTTTTTTTAAAAATCTCGATGCTTTCTAATCAAATTCGAGTTAAATTGACATCTCTCATCCTACCACCGTGATTAAGAGCATAAAACTTAATTCGATTAGATTTTTTACTGCGTAGATTTCATTTGTGATAAAAAAATTTATCACTATAAATAGATATTAAGGTGAACAACTAATATCATTCGGTCTTCTTAGAAAACCTAATTTGAAGCTTAAGTTTCATTTATAATCAAGTGATCATCATTGTAAACGGATAGTAGAGATTAAGGTTAGAAATTAAGACGTACTATTAGTGAAACTTCTCCGCCTTTGCTTGGGGTCTTTTTATATTAGTGTTTTAAGTCTTAAACCCTAAACCCTAATTCGAATATTCTAACGATATTCATGTCTAGGTATGCTATTCCATGGTGGAAGGAAAAGGAAATAGATCCGAAGCGCAAAAGAGAAGCTGGACTCTGCCCATTGACACCATTAGAGACAACAATTACACTGAGAGCATTCAATATTGATCATCGAATCCAAATATATATAGCCGCTGGCAATATATATGGTGGACACAATAGATTGGCTGCTCTCAAAGCATTCTGTCAGAATTTGGTAAATTTCTTTAAAGGCCCCCCAGAGTCTAGCTTTATTTGCAATGAAGTCCTTGACTCCTATTATCTGGTTTCATTAAACCGTGACATCTTCTTGCCGACCTACGGAGGCAACATGGCAAAGGTCGTGGAAGGTCACCGGAGGTACGTCGTGTATTTTCGACAGTAATCTGGTATAGGAAAATGTATCGAACAAGCATGAATTTATTGATTTTTCACTGATTGCATGAACCAGGTACTTGGGGTACAAGATGACAATTAGTCTAGACAGATTGGTGCTCGTTGGTTTGATCGATCAGTACAAGAACGGAACGTTGAAATGGAACGAATTCTCGCAGGCAGTGAAGGCGGCTCATGCGAATCAAATGGGGAGTCCGGCTCAGAGACTTCAGTTCCCCGAGAAACCTAAACAGGAGGATTATTTTTATACCAACCCAGAAGAATGTTTGTCGTCGATTGTTGTAGGGAAACCTGTTACAGATATCGGATAATTGTTATTAGCCCCCATGGACTCCTTGGTGAGTTTGAAATAGGGGGCTCATTGTAACTTTCCTTAATTAAAAGGAGTAAATTGTTCTTTGGTGTGTATCACCGGATTCATGCACTCCTTTAAACCGTGACGATTCGTAAATCTGAAGTTAGAATCCGAGCATCCTTGAACCTAATGCTGGCGATATCGAGAAAGTAAAAAAAAATTGTACATTTGATCGATTGAACCACTTTTCCTAGATAGGTGTCCAAATCTTTTTTAAATCATCCATATCTCTAATGTTACAAACACTTCTCATTTTAGGTGTTTGGGATGTAACAACGGTTGGTAAAATAGACTGCAAAATTACACCGTTAGCATTGACTGAAAATATAAACAGTAA